CACGCCACCACATCGATTCAATATTTCCGATCAAGACGCGGAAGCCGCGGCTGCGCGATAACGGTGGTGGCCAGCAGATATTAGTGATCATTATTATATATAGTATATTACTATATTATATTATATATATATATTTTATACCTTATAATTAATAAGTCCGCTGCGTATACAGTTCCAATCCAGCTCCCAGCGTCAGGCGAGGGAACGCATCTACATACCACACGACGAGAGGCATGCATTCAACCCCCACCCTCCGCCACACGACGAGGCAAGCATTCAACCCCTACCCTCCGCCACACGACGAGGCAAGCATTCAACCCCCACCCTCCGCCACGCGGTAGTCTCACACGAACAGAATAGCGCAGAAATAAATTGAATTACGCAAACGTTTTGCATGCAACGTCTATTATGATCATACTCTTCGTTATACGTAACCGTAGCCTATATAATAATATAGAAGACGTACTATATATAATGAAGGCAACCTCCTCGTATTTCCATGGCAACGCTTTCCACGAGTGCTTTTTGCTAGTAAATATATAAGCCGCAGCGATAGCTGTACTTACGATTGCTTGCCTACGCTCCTGCGAGGGGCAGCCGGACCATCGTTGGTGTGGGAACCAGGCGCCAGGTGGCGTCTCGTCGCCTCACGCCACGCCGACGTCAGCACCGATCTGTTGCACACGTATCTCCGACGAACGCGAGCGTCATCTGGTGGTCGTCGACAACAGCGTGTCAACATCCCTGAGTGTGGACCGTGTCGACGCGGCGAGTGCGTGCGGGAGAGCGGCGATGCACGCACGTATGCACGCACGCACGCACGCACGCACGCACGCTAGTATAATCTCGTCTGCTGGCTGGGGTGCCGCACGCGTGTTCAGGCGCCGCCGCCGCCGCCGCTGCTCGGAAAGCCTTTCTCCACTCCCCCCACGGTTCCCACGGTTGGGGTGACCGTTGTGAGCTTTTCTTTCCAGAGAGGTTTGCTTAAAGTTTTTTTTGGATAGAGGTTTCCGAGGCGGAAAGGTTTGCTTCTCGGGGAGATTTCCTTCTGTGGAGAGGTATCGTTTGCGGATAGGGTTTCCTTTCTGAAGAGGTTCTCTTTGTAGAGAGAGATTGCTCCACGGCGAAGACTGCTCGATGCTGAAAGGTTTCCTTTGCAGACAGGGTTTGCGCCGTAGAGAGAGAGGCTTGATCCGTGGAGAAAGGTCAACTCGGCAAGCGATGAAGATTTCCGCTTGGCCGCCGCGCGCACGCGAGCATGACATGCACGGGCATGTAAGCCTGAGCACGTAAGCTCATGAGCGATCAGCAAAGAATCCTCTACGTAAGGTGGGAGGAGGGCAAGACGAGAAGGAGGAGAAGAGAGTGGACGAGGGGCGAGGAGCAGAAGGGGGAGGAGGAGAAGTAGAGAGGGGAGTAAAAGGAGTGGAGCAGCAGGGGGAGGAGGAGGAGGAAAAGAGAGGTGAGTAGGAGGAGAGGGAGAAGGGGAAGAGGGGAGGAAGAAGAGGGAGGGGAAGGGGGAGGGAGTAGGAGGAGAGAGGGAGGAGGGGAGGAAGAAGGGGGAGGGGAGAAGAGGAAGATGAGGAGGGAGAGGGGAGGGGAGGGGTAGGGGAGGGAGCAGCAGACGGCAGCCGTTTATGGGGCATGAACGGTCGCTCCACGATTATCGACAAATCTAGTCTCTGGGTTCAAATGGCCGTGCAATCACTAGGGAGGATTGAGAGAGAGAGAGAGAGAGAGAGAGAGAAAGATGGGGAGGAAGAGAGAAAGAGAAGTAGAGTGCTGCTTCATTCAGCGGGTGAGAGTGCAGGCCAGACGTGTTCAATATCCGTGAGTCAATTTGGGCCGGTTAGTCTCTCTTGGATCGCCTCTCTCGTATCTCTAATGCCACGCTCTAGTCTCGCTACGTTCCAGCCAATCTGCCTACTGCCAATCTCTCGCTACTCTCTCGCACTATCATATCACCACGACAAGCACATCATCTCGTCTCTCAGCACACTCATCTCATCTCCACACAGCAAACATCAGCTCTCAATGGCAGGCTGTAAATACGCTCCCCACCATACACGATCACTCACGCACATCTCTCCTACGTCGTCTCATCTCTCCCTCCGCATCGTCTCGTCTCGTCGCAAACTTATTCACTCGAAGCTCCTTCTCTCGGTACGTCATCGGCTTATCAAACTCCCCACCTCTTCGCATGCTCAGCATACTACCTTTCTCCGCTCCACCCGTACTTTCACAGCTTTCTCTGTTAGAAGAATTCAGCTCCTTCTTCACCGGCTTCCGCATCCAGACAGCTGCGTGTGACACCTGACAGACGATAGAGTAGTCCGC